ACCCCAAAACCCCAAAACCCCAAAACCCCTCTTGTTCTAAGAATTGTTGAAATATCTGAATTATTAATTTTGAGATGCTCTCAGTCTATTTTCTAGCTCAGCGATATGCTGATCTTGAATTTCCCTCATCTCATGTTCTCTGGAGATGGCCTTCTGGAGCTCTTGGGCTAATTTTTGGTACCTAAATGAAGATAAAGGTAAAATTTTACTTGTTTTTCTCTGACTCTATCACTCTATAGTAGGCAGGTAAGACAACGCAAATGGAAACAAATGGCATAATAGCTATTACAGCTTTAGCAGAGAACCTAAGCTTACCTAATCTTCTTGTATTTATCAGTAGACAATGTCTCCATGAGTGCCTCAGCCTCTTCTTTGAGGATGTCATAGTTCTTTTGCTTGGTTTCATAGTTTTTACTATATAGCATATTAGCACTTTTAGATCTTTTGAAGGGATTGAGAGGTTACCTTAGAGTATTCTTTTCCTTTTCAAGCAATTTCATGGATTTCAGGCCTAAAATTATACAATTTGGCTTACTCTTCCTCAGCTGGGCTTTGAGGTTTGAGACTTCTCGATTTAGCAAGATCAGTTCATTCGCAAGAGTCTCTGAGTCTCTTCCAGCAGTTGTATGACTGAAATTACTTGGAGAAGGACTCTCTGGGACTGAAGGAGGTGAATTCTTCGAAAATGAAAGTTTTGAAGGAGGTCTTTTCATGCCTCTTTTGCTATTTTTTCTTGCGATCCCCCCTCTTTTTAAGTTTGATGGAGCTTCTGAAGGGATTTTTGGTCTTGGAATTTCCTCTTGTACCTTGAATTCTTCCGACTGGGTGCAGGCATCGACCACTTTAGACCCAGTTTGAATGTAGGCATCAATCATTAGCTTGTCATCTTTTAGCTTTGACTTTTTCAAATTCTTGATGCTGTCTTGTAAGATCTTGAGTTGTTCAGAGAAATTAGTTCTTTCTATCCGGAGCTGCTTGTTTTCATTGATGATACCGAACCGTTCCTTCTCCATTTGGATAATCTGCTGGTTCTTCATGTGAATTTCTTGCTTAAACATACGCTCATGGTGATTCTTCTCCTCAAGATGTTTGAATATGTTGTTCATTTCTCGATCTTTTTGTTGTAGAGCTTGCTCAAGTTTCTGAATCTTGTCTTTATCAACTTCGTGCATATCTTCATGTTTGAGGACCATCGAGTCCTCTAGGGAAATATTTCACCTAGGGCAGACCGCCTCTGAAACAGTGTTTGACAGACTTTCAAGGTTCTTTATCGTCTTTTTCTGGGTTGTGATTAGGCTCTTTTGTGAATCGACTTCCTTTAGGGCTCCTTGAAGCTGGTTCCTGAGCTTATTGTTCTCTTGAGAGTATTGTTGCTCTATCATTTCAAGCTTTGCTACTGAATCTTTGTATGCATTCAAAATCTTTTGCTCTGACTCACTGTGAAGCTCCTGAGTTTTCTCCTTTTGGCTCTGAGAGGACAATTTTGTTAAGCATTTCCAATGCTGGAATCTTTTAGCAAGATTTTTGATACTTTTCTTTTTGAAGACTGAACTAAGCGAATTAATTGCTATGAAGTTTCTGGAAAATTTAGACATCTTGTCAACCATGGCAGCTGCACTTTGTATTTTGTGGGTGTACTTCCCGACTACTACTTCTAGGTTGAGCTTCTTGAAGCAGTGCAGCATTTGAATTCGTTTATAGTTAGTCATAATCTTAGCCATATTAAGGAGAGCATCAGATTTCTTGTTGTAACATCTCTTAGGATGTTCAGACGCTTTTTCCGGGACATATGGGATGGGTTTGTCTACTTTCTCATACCCAAAAAACTGTTGCATGGTATCCTGAACCTCGGGATCCTCTTGCATCTTCTGTTGGAAGTCATTCTTGTAAAACTCTCCATCTTCACTATCGGAGTAGTTCAGCTTCCTGAATTTCTCACCAGCAGGCTGGTCATAGTTGAATGATTTCTTGATTGCAGAGGGCTTTTCCTCTGATTCTGAGAGGAAATTGGACCCGATTTCCAGTTCTTTATTTGAACTGAACTTTATCGTCATCCTAGAGAGTTTAACGTGGCACTTACTGGAGAAATCCTGCTAAAATCTAGAGGAATTTCGCTTTCTTCCTCTTCAGTGATGTTGTGCTTCTCAGGGCTCGCCGGGACATCAACTCTGGCTGTTGAGAGCAGAGACTGCTCTCAACTAGCTTCTTCTATGTATTCATCAGCTTTGAAATAAAGCTGCATCATTTTGTCATGAACAGGAATGCTCTTGTCGAACTTTGGATTAACTTGAGGGTTGCCTATAGAAGCAGGCAGATTCTGCTTTGCTTGCTTCTCTTTGATCTTTTCCTCTACTCTTTCTGTGTCATCATAACTTGAAGAGGAGCTTTCCCTACAGCTGGGTTATGGAGAGAACTTACTCGCTATCTGATTGATCTTTGTCAGATTCTTCTTTGTCAGATTTTGCTTGGAAAAGGGCTTCTAAGCCCTCGTCATGCTTTTGAAAGAGGCTATTGAGGGTTTCTATTCCAGCTATCTTAGGCTCCTCTGTGTTCATGTCTGACATTTTGGAAGGGGTGTCTTCTGGAATTATCGATGTCATTTCAGAGTCCAGGTCATCTTTTTGAAAATTGTCTGCATTTTTCTTTTGTGGAGACTCTTTCTCTTCCTCATCATTGGAGTTGTTGCAGGAATTGTTGATATTCTGTGATTTTTTAAGGTCTTCTTGGAACTTATGTTCTATTTCGTCGTTTTCTGAAGTTGTGCTGGAAACATTATCGGAGTCGTGATGGGAGGTATGGTCTTCTGATTTGCTATTGGATTTTTCGTCTTCTGAGGGCTGATTATGAGTATCAGATTTGTTTTCTGGCTCGAAGTTAAAGACTTCATCCATTTTGTTATCCTTTGGTTGATATGATTGAACATCTTCTAATAAATCCGCAATTGTAATTTTTCCTAAAAATGATTAAATATCGTACCTTCTCCATCCTGCTCCTCTTCATGCTTACCATCCAAGTTATTAGTATTAAAATTTTCCTTATTGTTATCCTACAAAAACTTATAACCCCACTTTTGACATAAAATCCAATACTATCCACTTAAAATACCTCTAAAACATCCATTTCTTCCTCCTTTTTCTCTTTTCCCACATTTTCTATATTTACTTCCTTCTCTTCTAAATATAATCTCAAACTCATCCATACCATCACTCATGTCCCCATTCGAGCTATTTTCAGACTCATCCGAGCTTGAGAATGATAATTTCTGGTGTTTCTTCATTAATCTCTGGAACAAAGGGTTGTCTTTGGCCTCCATTTGTCTCAAAATTATTTTTAAATAAATCAATATATTTCTATTAGAAAGGGGTTTTGGGGTTTTGGGGTTTTGGGGTTTTGGGG